GACTAATTAAATGGGAAAATATATTAATTGTTTTAATTTTTAAATATAAATAAAGTAAAATTAAAAATTAAATTAGTTTTTAAATTATTTAAAATTAAAAAAAATTCACATAATCATTTTTTACATGATGGATTTTCCACTTAATATTGAAAATGTAAAATAGTCAATCACTTAGCGAAAAAATTAGTTACATCAACATTTAACTGACAGAAAGATGAAATTGAAAAAAGTTGAAGGATGTTTTTGGTACTTTCTGAAGTTTAATGATGAATTAGTTAAAAAATAAAAGTTAAGGGACCAATTTAGTTTAAAGATGAATTAGTTAAATAGAAAAAGTTAAAAGTTGACATCCTTAAATAAAAAAAAATTAAAAGTTGACATCCTTATTTAGAAAATAACAAAGTTAACATTCTAAAATAGAAAAAAATGTCAAGTTAAAATTCTTATTTGCATCTTTACTCGACTTACCCTTTTCAACTTTTTCGTTTTCCTTGAGACACCATTGACATTGCCTATCTCTCTTTTCTCCAATCTTCTCTAATCTACACCCATGGCTAGTGACAAGAAGGATCAACCAACCTGCACTAGTTCTGCGTTATGGATGGCCAGAACCCAAGCCACTCCTTACGCAAAGCCACCTCCTACAGGTCTTGTTGCCATCTTTGAAGAAAAGTATCTCCAAAACAAAATCAAACGAGTTCTGCAGTGAAATCCTCCTTCCCACTCAAATTAAATGTTTATACCTCACATGAAGTTCTTGATTTTGGGTTCATACTTCGTTTCTCCTCTACCTATTGCTTTGAAGATCTTATACCCAAAACCAAAAGATCACACACTCCCCTTTCAATTGAAGCCTAATAGGAGTAAATGGGCAAGTAAGTTTAGCACTTTGCCATCTCGGAGAAAAACTGAGTGGTCTAACTGGGTAGACCGTCTGGAGCCTCATTTTGGCAATGTCTGGAAAGATGTTAGTCTGAACGAATTCATCTAGCTAACTAAATGCAAATTTTCTATGGACACACCAATTTTGAGTTCTACCTTGCTTTTTTGGGTCTTGCTCCAATTGCTTCCACTTTCAATGCAACGCCATGTTCGTGACCCTTCTAGACATTAGTTCCTTGATAGGTCACCATGCACGAGATCATTACAAAGAAACCCACATTTAGTTACTAAATTATTAGTCACTAAACTTTTATTTTTTATCATAAATTAAAATTAGTGATAAGATTTAAATTATTAGTAAACCCTTAT